CGGCAAATGATTGAACAACACTCCTCAAGGTGCCGATCGATCCTTACGGTACACTAACTGGAAACCCTCGAGGCTACGAACCTAGACACTGCACGGCGTCACCGCAAGTTACGTGATGACGAGTTGTCGGTTAAGTTCGAGAAACTTAGCCCGCCAAAGCATCCCTCTTCTGATGGGGTTCTGGTTCACAACTTGTCCTCCCATCCTCTCTCTCCATAACAACCGGCAGTTCTTTCCTATGACATAAAATACAGCACGAGAGATGCTCGCCCAAAAGACTTTATTGCATCTTTCGAATCGACGCTCCAAAAATGCGAGACAGGCGAGGAATGTAAAAACGCCATGTGGCAACAAGTTACGACTTTACTCCTTCAACACAAATGCCAAGTCACGATATCTAAAGCAGAAGAACGAGAACTTCTGAAGATACGAGAAATGAAGGATATCGCCACCCTGCCCGCTGACAAAGGACGCTCGACGGTCGTCATGGATAAGGTGGAGTATGGAGCAAAAGTGAATGACCTCTTGATAGACAAGGAGTCCTACGCACCATCGACTGTCAGCGTGTTCAAAAAGCTTATGAACAACAAAAATAAAGCAGTCGACAAACTGAAGAAGTTGGGAGCTCTGATGAGAAGAGAGGAGCTGGCTGCAAAGGCCACCGACGCTACAATGGCACGTTTCTACCATCTACCAAAGGTGCACAAACCAGGAGTGCCCTTACGCCCCATCGTATCCTTACGAGATACCCCAACTTTTGGGTGGTCAAAGTGGCTGTATCAGCGACTTAGCTTTTTTACCAAGGATTCACAGGGGACAGTGAAGTCTGCTAAGGAGTTTTTGACCCGCATCCAATACCTGGAAGTGGAGGCGGACAAGGTGATGGTGTCGTTTGACGTGGTCTCATTGCTCACATCTATTCCGCCCACTCTGGCTTTCGAGACTACTGATGGTCTTCTCCAAGAGAAATACGACGAAACCTACCAAAAGCTCAATCGAGTGCACTGTGTCTAAAAACGTTTTCACATTTAATGGC